AGGAAGGAAGGAAGATGAGAAAGGGAAGAAGGGGAAGGAAGGAAGGAAGGAAGATGAGAAAGGAAAGAAGGGGAAGGAGGGAAGAAGGGGAAGGGTAGGAGAGGGAGGGAAGGAGGGAGGGAGAGAGAAGGAAAGAACTGAAGGAGGGGAAGGGAAGGAGGGAGGGAGGAAAAGGAGGGAAGGAAAGGGGAGGAAGGAAGATGGGAAAGGGAAGAAGGGGAAGGAAGGAAGGGAAAGAGGGGAAGTGGTGAAGGAGGGAGAGAGGGAGAGGGAAGGAAGGAAGATGAGAAAGAGAAAAAGGGGAAATGAAGGGAAGGAAAGGGAAGGAGGAAGGGAGGAAAAGGGGAGGAAGGAAGGAAGGAAGGGAGATGAGAAAGGGAAGAAGGAGAAGGGAAAGAAAGGGAGGGAGGAAAGGAAGGAAGGGAAAAGGGAAGAAGGGGAAATGAAGGGAAGGGAGGGAAGGAAGGAAGGAAAGAAGGGGAAGTAAAAGAAAGGGAAGGAAGAAGGGAAGAAAAAAGGGAAGGGGAGGAAGGAAGGAAGATGAAAAAGTGAAGAAGGAGAAGGGAAAGAAAGGGAGGGAGGGAGAGGGAAAAGGAAGGAAGATGAGAAGGGGAAGAAGGGGAAATGAAGGGAAGGAGGGAGGAAGGGAAGAAGGGGAAGTGAAAGAAAGGGAAGGAAGGAGGGAAGAAAAAAAGGAAGGAAAGGGAAGAAGGGAGCGAGGAAGGAAGGAAGAAAGGACACCTATGAAAAGGTGGAGGATGCATTTCTCACCTGTATTTTTTTTAATATGTTTATTGAAAGTTTCAAAAAATACATATTTTAAAAAAAGAGAAACACATTCTCACATTTTTGCGACGTTTTCATAGCTGTGTCCATTTCTAAGTGTCAATGAAAGTCATTTGTCCCGTGGGCTGTGTTGATGGAGCATGGTTTCTGGAGTTCCCCTCAACGGGCCTCCTGAAGGGTTGGGGTTCCCAGGCGGCCCCCCTTGTTTCACAACTGTCCTCCCCCACTCCCCTCCCTCTCTCTCTGTCCAGATCCCGGCTGGGCATCCATCAACCGAGGCGTGCTGGTGTGCGATGAATGCTGTAGCGTCCATCGTAGTTTGGGCCGCCATATTTCCATCGTGAAGCACCTGCGACACAGCCCCTGGTCGGCCACCTTGCTACAGGTGAGTATGGGGGCGGGGCTGTCTCTGGCCTGGGGGTGGGGGCTTATGGATACCTCCTGCTTCCCTTCCCCTGTTTATCGGGTATGGATCTTTATAAGGTTGGGTGGTGCAGCGGAGCTGCTGTGAGTTCAATTCCAAGTAGAGGCTGATATTTCTCCCTCTGGGCGCCATGAGAATATATCTGCTGAACAAAACTCCGTACTGGCAACAGGACGGGCATCCGGCCAGTAAATACTCAAAACTCCATTTAATTGCCCAGTCTCCATCCCGCAAGGGATTATGGTGTTGTTAAAAGAAGACGATGGATGATCGGTTTTTATACGGTTGCCCCGCCTGCCAAGATCACTCCCAGGTTTTAAAAAAAATACGTAAAAAATATATATGAAAGCAAATATTTTTAATATTTTAAAGCTAGCATGCTTCAAGGTGGATGGACTTGAAAAGCAGGTGAACAGGCCGGCTGGGGTTTCTCAGTACTGGCTGGGGAATTCTGGGAGTTGAAGTCCACCTATCTTAACGTTGCCAAGGTTGAAAAATTCTGGCATAGGGTGTAAAAATCAATGGAATAAGTGGGTTTTTATTAGGGGTTGGAGGGACAGAGGCTTACATCTTTTGTGTTTAGCTTTATTTTGCTTTACTTTATTTTATTATTTTGGTTTTCTTTTTGTTTCTTTTATTATTCGTTTTGTTTTACTTTCTTTTTAGTTTCCTTTCCTTTTATTATTTCCTTTTCTTTTATTATTTTAGTTTTTCTTTTTTTCCTTTTCTTTTCATTTGCTTTATTTCAGTTTCCCTTTAATTTTCTTTTCTCCTATTATTTTATTTTAATTTGTTTTTTATTTTATTTTATAGTTTATTTTACCTTATTTTCTTTGTTTTTGCTTTTCTTTTATTATTTTCTTTTTAATATTTTATCATTATTATTTTTTGCTTGGCTTTATTTTTGTTTGTATTCATTAAATTTATATGCCGCCCTCTTACTATCGAGCAACTCTGGGCTGCTTACCAACTTGATCAAAGCAACCATATAAAAAATTAAAATGATAGTTTCCTTCCTTACTGGCCCCTTACTCCCAAAACAACAGGGAGGCATCCAACATAACCCTGAAAGATCCCTCCCACTCATTAATAAATAGTGAAAGCAAGCAGTGACCTCTCCAAAAATCGCCCTCCTTCTTCCACCCCAGAAAACAAACCAAGATTCCCAATTTAAGGACAGTGAGAGAGAGAGAGAGAGAGAGAAAGAGAGAAAGCCAGAGACAGAGATCGATTGAGAGAGAGATTGAGAGAGACAGAGACAGAGACAGAGAGATCGAGAGAGAGAGACAGAGAGAGACACACAGAGAGAGAGATTGAGAAAGAGAGAGAGACAGAGATTGAGAGAGATTGAGAGAGACAGAGAGACAGAGATTGAGAGAGATTGAGAGAGACAGAGAGAGAGAGACAGATTGAGAAAGACAGAAAGAGAGATTGAGAGAGAGATTGAGAGAGACAGAGATTGAGAGATTAAGAGAGAGAGACAGAGAAAGATTGAGAGAGAGAGAGATTGAGAGAGACAGAGAGAAAGAGATTGAGAGAGACAGAGAGAAAGAGGGATTGAGAGAGACAGAGAGAGAGAGAGAGATTGAGAGAGTGATTGAGAGAGAAAGAGACAGAGATTGAGAGAGAGAGACAGAGAGAGAGACAGAGAAAGAGAGAGACAGAGACAGAGAGATTGAGAGGGAGAGACAGACAGAGACAGAGAGAGACATACACAGAGAGAGATTGAGAGAGAAAAAGAGAGACAGAGAGAAAGAGAGATTGAGAGAGAGATTGAGAGAGACAGAGAGAGAGAGAGAGAGAGAGATTGGGAGAGACAGAGAAAGATTGAGAGAGACAGACAGACAGAGACACACAGAGAGAAATTGAGAGAGAAAGGGATTGAGAGAGCCAGACAGAGAGAAAGAGAGAGATTGAGTGAGACAGACACACACAGAGAGAGATTGAGAGAGTGATTGAGAGAGACAGAGATTGAGAGATTGAGAGAGAGAGAGATTGGGAGAGACAGAAAGATTGAGAGAGAGACAAAGAGAGAGATTGAGAGAGAGATTAAGAGAGAGAGAGATTGAGAG